CAAAATTGTCAAAGCTTGCAAGACAAAAAGCATGGTTGCACTCCGCATAATCGATTATCCTTGCTACCAAGACTAGGAGGGTTGGGAGCCAAAGCCTGTCGTTTGAGAGTGATAGAAGGATAATATAGACAGTTGAACCAACTTGTAACAAAAGCCCCAATAAGAGCCTGATCCAGAGTTCATTATCCTCTAGAGAAAAGGAAGCAATGGTGTCAGGGCCACCAAGATGCAACAAAAGAAGGGGTGCCCAAAGGGCCATGATGTCACTACTTTCACCACGCAACAACATGAGTCCAATAGCAAATATAGCAACCCAATCTGCAAGCAAGTATGCCATCCAAATTGGAATCATACCCATTTCCCACCTCTTTGACTTCTCAATGGTGCAAACAGAATTAGGAAAGACTGCAGCAAGAGGCTTAATTGGAATAATCAGTCCTCTGAAATTCCAAGTATCCCATAGCTTCTCCTTGAGTTCAGCAATGGACGACACCATCTTCTTTATTCTGTTGTATTTTGATTTGCCAAAAGCTTGTCCGACTCTATTCAACAAATTTATGGAAGCACAATGAGTCCAGTTCAAGCACAACAGTGACCCGTCCTAAATTGAATATCCTACATTAATAGATTTCAGTTTCAATATTTGAGAATGAAAATTTTTACTGGTAACCATTCCTAACTTCACCCAATCCTGTTCTTAAAAATAAATAAATAAATAAAAATAAAAACAAAACAAAACAAACAAAACTAGAACATCTAATGCAAATATACCATTGCATAAAGATATCTAACAGAAAAAAAGAAAAAAATTATCCATACAAAACATAGAGTGAATCTTTGCTACGTATATATATATAAACTTAATGAAGCAGTTGTGACAACAATATATAATATAAAGTTGCTCCTCCGTGTCAAAACAAGTCATTTATTTATTGCATGTATTTTTAGATAATAATTTTTTTATAATATATAAATGATATTTAAGATACCTTTTTTCTTTAAGTAATTTTCTTAAGTAATTTTATTTAATAAAAAAATTTTAAATATCATTCATACATAATATATATAAAAATCATCACTTAAAATTACATATAAAATGTCAAACTTCTTATATTTTGAATCAGAAAGGGTAAAAATTAAATTAAGTTCATTAATTAATTATGTCGTACCTTTTTCCTCAAAATCCATCCATACTAACATTCTTAAATTCAGACTTTGGCTTCGCAGTTGCTTCCACCGACAAAATTTCTGGCACAATATTTAGTAACAATAAGATTATGATTCGAAGTAATAATAAAATTATAACAAAAAAAAAAACTAATTTTTATGGTGATAAAAAGTCAGGCCTTAAAATATAGGTTTCTCATGTTCGAATTTATAGAGTGAGGTCAAATTCAACCTTGAATTATTGTGATTTTTTCCAAGCTGATCTCAATATTCTTGAACGAAAGAGTTCCAGCGTCTAGTCTAAGATGAATTAATTAAAGAGGCAACAAAATTACGTAGTGATAATATATTATTTTTTTTGCATATTACTTTTGCATTAAGTAATTAGCTAAAGTTAATGTTTATTTTTTTAGTGAAATATTTGATCTGTCAAATATAAAAAATAATTAATATATTTCTAATTTGATATATTTTTAAATTTAATTGATTTAATTATTAAAATATAATATAATTATATATAATTATATTCAATTCAATTAGTTTCTATATTCTATATATATGATTACATTTTTAAGTTTATTTATTTTTAATTTATATAAAAATAATATAATATATTAAATTAAAAAATATATAAATCAACGATAAAGTGGCCATCAATCCTATCTCTCAAAAAAAATTTGTAGTCCTAACCCAAAACGGCGCCGTTCTCTTAATCCCAGCCCTTCCCCTTTGCCTTTGCCTCTTCTGCAATCATCTCTATCTCCGATTCCTTCTCCATCGCCTCCCATCTCCATTGACTACTCCGAATCATCCGATTCCACTACAATTCATCTTCTCCGTCGATGATAACCCCTGCTTTTTTTCACTTCTTCTGCAATCATCTCCATCAATTCCTCCAATTCCTCCAATTTTTCAAATGCAATCCCACGCCAGTGGCTTAATCCCCAACACCCACTACTTTAACCCCATTATGTTGCTACAATTCATCATCTCCATCGATTCTACCGTTGCAATTCATCATTCTTGCCTAGCTCTTCCTTCTTCGGCTTAACCCGAAAAAAATTGAACTATATATCACATGAGCTATCATTTTGCATCACAAAATTTTCCCATACCCATTTACTCAAGGAAGCAACCCATCATCATAAAAATTCAATAACATAAAAAACAAACACCAATCAGATTATAATGGAAACTATACAAAACCAAGTGAACTGAATTTAACAATACATCATTTGCAACAGAAAATCAAGAGGTTAATGAATCATATCCAAAGCTAAATCAAGATCCAATTACCCTTAATCCAAGTAGATCATGTCAAAATTTCATAACATAGAGTTCACCAAAAAAACAAAAGAAGTGAAACCCAACTACTGTGATTAACAAACAAACCTAAGAAGATTACTTGAACAGAAGCAGCAAAAAAACCTGACATTACTGTAAAAATCAGTGGGTTTCTTGTGTATATACCAACAATTTTTCATCCGCACCAAGGATGCAAACGCAACAGCAGCAGCAGCAGCCAGAATAAAAAAAAAAATGGAAAGGAAAAAGTAGAAGCAAGCAGTGCAGCTACACTATCAGAGCCAGCATTCTGCATTCTATCTGTGTTTACTATAGCTGCTCCGTTCTCGTTCTCTAGACCCCTTTGAGTGTCGTGGCTCATCTTCCCTCTCAGCCATTGGTGGAGGCGATGATTAATGCCTTGAAGGCTTCCTCTTGAAATGCCGTTCATCGTCGCTAGACTCATAATCTATCGCACTGCTACTGCTTTTCTTTACACCGGTGGAAACAACCTTGGCAGCAGCAGTAGAGGATGATGACTTATGTTCATCATGGTAACCATTGGAAGTTGCCTTGTCATGAGCAGAAGAAGATGCATGTTCAGAGGACAGCTTGTGTCACTTATTGGCCTCTTCCTCGGGGAAACATATGCGAGAGAAGACGCTCCCCTTATGCTTCTTGTCTGCGGCAGTTGTTGTTGGAGATACAGAAGCGGCTTTAGTGGCTACTTCAGTCCTGGGCTTTGCAGAAGACTCTAAGCGGTGGTGATGGTGGTGGCGGTCACGGTCTTTCTCACGGTCATCATAACCGTATCAAATTTTGTGATGCAAAATGATAGCTCATGTGATATATAGTCCAATTTTTTTCAGGTTAAGCAGAAGAAGGAAGAGCTAGGCAAGAATGATGAATTGCAGCGGTAGAATCGATAGAGATGATGAATTGCAGCAGCATAATGGGGTTAAAGTAGTGGGTGTTGGGGATTAAGCCGCTGGCGTGGGATTGCATTTGAAAAATTGGAGGAATTGGAGGAATTGGAGGAATCGATGGAGATGGAGATAATTGCAGAAGAAGTGAAAAAAAGCAGGGGTCATCGTCAACGAAGAAGATGAATTGCAATGGAATCGGAGGATTCGGAGGAGTCAATGGAGATAAGAGGCGATGGAGAAGGAATCAGAGATAAAGATAGAGATAATTGCAGAAGAGGCAAAGGCGAAAGAGGCAAAGGCAAAGGCAAAGGCAAAGGCAAAGGAGAGGGGCTGGGATTAAGAGAACGACGTCGTTTTGGGTTGTGACCCTAAATTTTTTTGAGAGGTAAGACTAATGGCCACTTTACCGATAAATCAAAACCTATTAACTACATTAGCACTTTAGTAGCAATGAATAATTGTTAGGAAGCGGAAGATCATTGACTGAGATCGGATACTATGGCAGCACAGTGTCCGTCCATTTATTTTCACTTTGTTATGGTTAAATTTTAAATTTAAGAGTTTTTTTAATTTGTGTCTTATGAGTATAGATTAAAAATTTCAAAAAAAAAAAAAAATAGCTCATCACTACGTGTCCCAATAGCCATGCTTCTCATTTGAGAAACAAAGTGGGGTCATCTTGCTCTCCGGGTCGAGCCCAGTGCTCGACATTCCTTTCTTCTCTTTGAACAGGTATTAATACTACTAATATAATTTTAATTGTTAAAAAAAATCTTAAAAAAATAAATATTAGTATTAAATTTATTATTTTTCTAAATAAATTCTAAATTTAATTAGTCATTTGATTTAATGATTTAAAATTATTTTGGTTTCACGAATTTTTTTGAATTTCTTTTTATTTTATGTCTTAGAGTAAGTGATTTAAATTTATGATGGTAAGGGGATAAAGAGAGGGAGTACAAGTTTGAACCTTTATTAAGAAAGTGTAAAAGTCTTTTATATTAATGACACAATTACTTTAATTATTATTATCTCACTTTGATACTATTTTTTAGTTCTAAAACTTTATTCAAAATTCAATTTTAATTGTGTTAAGTTTAATTTTTTTAGGATTGATTATACACATTATTAGGATTTAGTTTTTACTTGTTAAAATTAAGATTTTTAAAAGTTCAAGATTAATGTTTTAAGGTTTATATTTGCTAGCATTTAGTATTTGGGATGTCAAGGTTTATATTTTCAAGGTTTAGGATTTATATTATTAAATTTAATATTTAGTATTTAAAATTTAAGGTTTAATAAATCAGAAATTAAAAATCGGGGAACTTCAAAATAAAAATTAAAAAGTATTAGATCTAAGAAAAATTAAAAATGCTATATATAGGATCTGTTAGACTCATGCCGCGCCGGCTACCTAATTCCGGCTGGTATGTACCGATTTTGTATTAGACCGGTACAGTATACTACTGGTTTTAGTAAACTTTTAGGCCGTATCGGCCGAAAAATGGCTTATCGGACGAAATTCTTTTCACTAGTCGAAAATTAACCTACCGGCCGGTACCAAACAGTAGAAATCTTTTACTTCTTTTAGGTGCAATCTTGAGCTTGTTAAATGAGGAATCATGGAATAATTTTTTTGATTTTAGAATCATAAAATAGTTAAAATTTGAAAGTAGAGCATAGAAATGTGAAAGGTGTGAACAGGAAGAGAAGATGTAATTACTGATCTCTTAGGGTTGGAAAGAATAATTTTTAATATATAAATCAATAAAAAAGATAAAAAATTTTGTGATGGAAAGAGTATGATTTATTTAATAAAAAATTATTATAGATATGAGATGAATAAAATATATTAATTTTTTTATTTTGTTAAGATTCTTAGAAAATATCAATGAAAAAACAATTAAAATTAAAATTTTTCTAAAAAATTTAACTAGTATATAAAAGATATTTAAATTTTAAATTATCAAAAAAAAAAAATTTCACCCTTACATAATTTTTTGACATATTTTTATTCATAATATTATATATATTAATTCATTTAATAATATATCTTATATCAAGTCATTACTAATAAATTCTCATCCCTGATCTTCCTCCCATATGTACAACTATTCTAAAAGAAAATTACACATATTAATATATATACTGATAGGCATCATTATAGCATCACACGTAATAAAATATATTATTGTCACGAATTTAAATACAGGTTTCCACACAGCAACACGAACATAAAATATAGTACAATGCACCAAACAAGAGATTCCAAACCAAAGCACCAAATGGGGAAATAATAATTGACAAACAGATCAACAAAGAAGAAAAACAAACACACACACAAAGACGTCAGTCCCAATCCTTGGAAGGATTTAATCTTAAGGTCCCGTTGTACACCAATTGGAAGGGGTTAATTCCATATAATTCATCAACAACCAAACCAAAGTGAGAAGTTGTCCACCTCCGCTTACTTGTCTTGCATGCACAATTGGTTGGCAATTAATAGCAGCATAGCATAGTATGCATACCCAAATTTTGGCTATTATCTCCCACCGTTTACCTTCCGATTCCAGAACCTTGACAAGCTCACATGCAGTCCTCTTTACCCTGGAAATTCTCTTTTCCTTGGATTCATTACGATCAGAAAAGCTATATTTGCCTGAGGTTATATTTCCTTGGAAACTGGAGTACTGTAGTTCCATCAGCCAGCTGGAGTTTATCTGATCCTTATTATCTTCGCCGTTAAATACTATCTTCCAGCAGTTAGGCGAGACCCCTATCAAAGTAGGCTTCATCACCAAAAGGTAAAACATATAATCTGAAAGCAGCTTGCTTATTTTTCGGTGGTTAATATGTTTGCATGCAAATGCAGGGGCAGAGCTGGATTTGGGACCTGAATCTTTTCTTCGGTAGCAGCATTCGGTAACTATGTGCCATATTAGAAGGCTATCCATGTAGTCAAATTTCTCGAGGCTAAAAGCAACAACTTGATAAATAACAAAAAAATTCTTTGTTACTGTATGAATATAATTCTTGACCAGCTGCTTCAAGTCATTAAATATCAGGCGCCCCTGCTTCTTATCTTTCTTTTCCTGTAGTGTTGAAAAAATGAACAGCCACTCTTGGTCTTTTACAAACCTTCTATACTTCACCCATTGGTTTCTTCTTATTTTTCTCAACAAACTCCTCAAGCCAAGAAAACCAAACGAGTCTTGGTTTGCAAGACCTCCCTCCTTGGTCAAGAGATCACAAGTGCTGAAAATGTTTAACTGAGGAACCAAGTTAAACCACCTAGGCTTGTTGATGAATTTGTCAGAATTCCATATTTTCTGAAAGTGAGCCATAGTCATCCAATCTGAAGTAATGAGTAACATGATGGATATCAACTCCAATGCCAAAGCCCCGATCAGCAACCCATATGTCAACCAAATGTCAAACTTCCCAAACCTCCTATGGTAGTACTTGTTGAGTAACATTGGGAATGACACCAAGGCTCCCAAAATGCAAACAAGGTTAATGATGCGGCAAACATAACCAGTCTTGGAATCAACCACGGGCAACTTGGTATGAAGAAACTCATACAAGAGGCTTAATTGGATCTCTATGGCTCGGAGCATCTCATTCATTCCATCAGGAAGAAGCGATTTTTCAATTGAACTCAAAGGAGGACCTACAAGTAGGTTCTTAAGAACGCCAAGGAGTTACACTGCAACCTCAATTCTTAACGATGTCTGATCATCTGTTGTCTCCTCCGAACTAGATTGTCCTTTGTGATGGAAAAGTCGTCCAGGATTCCACCAATTCAGAAAATTGTACTCGTCCGGCAACCAAGGCCCAACATATTCAGCAATTTTTTCTCGACAGGAAGATTTTCCCTTTTTTGTATCATCATTCGAATTACATTGCGGCATCCAAGAGCTAACCAACTTGGAAAATTGTTCTGGAACCGGAGGCATGTGCTGGTTGGCTTTTTTCGAATTATCCCCAAAATGATCAAGGCTTGCAAGATATAAAGCACGGTTGCGCTCTGCATATTTGATTATCCCTGCAATTAAGACTAGGAGGCTTGGCAGCCAAAGAATGTCATCATTTGAGAGTGACACAAAGACAATATAGACAGATGAACCGACTCGTGACAATAACCCCAACAAGTGCCTCATCCAGAGTTTGTTATCCTCTATAGAGAAGGAAGTCATGGTGTCGGGCCCACCAAGATGTAACAAAAGAAAGGATGACCAAAGGGCCCACAAGCCACTACGTTCAGCACGCATGATGAATCCAATAGTAAATACAGCGACCCAATCTGCAAGCAAGTATGCAATCCAGAGTGGAATTGTAACGAACAATACCCGTTTCCCGCCTGTTTGCCTCCTTAACGGTGCATACAGAATTAGGAAGGACTGCAGCATGAGGCTTAGAATAATCAATCCTCTGATACCGTACTTATCCCATGGCTCCTTTAAGCTTTCATCCGAAGACATCTTTAGTTGAATGTTCTATGTTCAAGGCAGATAGGCTGTGAAGTCGTGATCAAAGAAGCAAGATGTAAAGACTGAAAATTGAGAACAAAAAAGATTAGAAATGAACGCGAATTGAAGGAGCAAGAGACCTAAGTCATGGTAGATTGATTTCCATAAGTTCAAATAAAGAGTGGTTTTACGCCACAATTTGTTTACAGCGTTTTAAAGTTCAAGATGCCCTTAACCATAAAATCCATCATATCAGTACATGATACGTGCTTTGGTATTCCACAACGGTATGATATTTGACAGCTTATTAAGAGCTTAGGTGTTGCACATCGTATGATATTTAACTTCTTATTATTATTGTTATTGTTATGAGGCTCCTCGTTTGTACTTCACATTCTTACTCATTATAACTTCACATTCTTACTTATTATCAAATATAATAATATTAATTTATGAGATTAATGTTTATTAGTCTAATCTCAAAAAAATTAAGAGAAAAAACATTATACAATTATATTGTTTCATTAAAATATCACATGAAAAAATAAAAACAAACTTATTTCTGATTTAAAATAGATTATTTTAATTTTTTAATAGACATTTATTAAAATAAAATGATTTTGAGGTGTTTTTCCTTTTATCTTTTTAGGGATTCGGTTGACAAATATTTTTTCTTTAATTTATAATTAAAATTAGTTTTTAATTAATTAATAATATAAAAGCTATTTCAAATACATTAATTTATTATTTACAAATGTCTAATTTCCATATCAACTATAATTTTTCTGAAGTAAATATAATATAGTAATTAATCAACTCTTCATTAATTTCCTTTTAGTATTATTTTTTTAATACCTTTTTATTTACCTATAAATACCCCATGTTTCACTAATTTTTCTCGCAACATCATCTCTTAGCTTGTCTTAACATATTTTATTATTATATTTATCTATTTATCTATCTATATTCACTCTCATTTTCTCTCTCTATAATAATAATTTGTTTGACCTTACCCTCCGACTATACTATTCTCTTTTAGTCACTTCTTACACCTCCATTAATCATTCTATATCTTTTTTTACTCATATTCTCTCTCTCAGCACTATTGTGTCGTGTGTATATTAGAATTTGTTTAATTTTTTATCTTAATTAATACATTTTAGTCAATGCTTTTACATCATAAATCAAAGATGTAATTAACATTTTTTATATTAATTTATATAAAAAAATTAATCACAATTTCATTACTAATATTATGTGAATTATTTTAATTAATTAAATAATTAAATAATTAAATATCAATTTTTTTAATACCAATTAATATTTAAAAAATATTTTTTTAAGATACATGCTAAAAAGCACCTGATTTTTTTAGTCAGGTGATCACCGGCACATTGTGGTGCACTTCTTTTCTCCTTTGGGCAGATTTGAGCCCGCCTCATGACACTTTGTTAAAAAGAAAAAAAATACATGCTAAAAGATTTTATGAGAAAAAATTAAAAACATCTAGCTGAATCATACGTGGTACCTTTCTTTTCGAAATCAATTGGTCCTAACCTTCTTCTATTCAGATTTCGGCACTGCAGTTCGCCCTCCAGCAAAATTCCTGGCAGATATTTAATAGCACTAATTATTACAAATGCAAAGCTAATTTTTATATATAGACACCTGGCCTTAAAAAATTAAGTATAGATACGTAGGACTGAAATTTTTAAACAATGAGAGTATAAATTATGTTATTAAATAAATTAATATATATAATATTTATAAATTAAAAAAATTAATTATTAAATAATATAAAATTTACTTTTTAATATTAATTTTAAATGATATGATTTATAATTTATTATTAATTTTAATTTTAATTCCAAAATTTTAGTCTCATCTATTATTTTTCTAAAAAATATGCAAATTAGTCAAGCCAAAAGCATATATTCTTGTTCGAATCTACCAAGTGAGCTCAAACCTCGTGTTATCATGTGCCTTCTAAACTAACGAGTTCCAGCTAGTCTAGACTAGATAAAAATGCAAAGGAAAATATAATAATTCTCTTGCACATTATCTTTCCATTAATATACTGACATAAATTTAATGTTTGTTCTATAACTATTAATATATTATCACTTAAATTTAGAAAGTTTCATTCGTTTTTTCTAGTGAGTTCTCGTTGGTCCATGCGTAACCCTATATGGCTGTACGTAGAAAATCATATTTTATTTACCAGAATCGGTAATGAAAATTTTGGAAAATGGCATTAGCAGTTGTTTAAAATGAATAGAAAATTACTCCATCACCTCTAGAATAATAAAATTTTTTATTTATAATTTGTGTTAAAATAATACTCACTTTTTCTTATTTTAAAGAAGATTTTTTTTTTTAACTTTAACTATATATGTGATTATCTCTTAAGTTTAAATATTCATTTTTTAACTAAAATAATTTTTTATTTTATTTATTTTTTAAAGATAAAAAACATAAAAATAAAAATTATCTCAAAATTCTTAATTTGAGGATAAAATTAAAAAAAAAATCTCCTTTTAGGACAGAGGGAGTGAGAAACTAAGGGATGTGTGGTTGATTATGCATTAAAATGTACTCTCTTCATTCAATTTTAGTACATTTAATTTTTTACTTAAAATGTTTAAATTTAGTTTTTCATTTTTTAAAAATATTATTTAATACATTTATT